ACTCGTCGAACGTGACGTCCTGGGAGGACAGAACATGGCGAGAGGTGGGGTGGTGGAACTGCCACCCTGGCGCGTCAGGGGGGAAACACAGGAAGACGCAAGGAAGAGCATGAGGAGACAGCTTGTCCGCAGACAAGTCGCGGACAAACGCCCGAGATCCCCAGACACAGAACGCAGACGCATCGCCAACCTTCCCCGTCCACAGCAAAGCTGGGGAGGTCTCTGGCATGGAGACCCTGGGGTGAAGGTTGATCTGATGCGCCGTGTACCGAACCGCAAACGGCCACAGAAAATGGGGGGCAGCTGCATGCATCATGGACGCACGGGCGACGTCCATGACCATGCCAATGCGGCGCTCAGCAATCCCATTTTGCTGTGGAGAGTCCGGAAGATAAAAGGTCAGGCGGATGCCTCGTGCACGACAGTACGCTCGCAGAAGGCCAGAGGAGAACTCTCCGCCTCGGTCAGAGTGCAGACGCAGAACAGGAAAGTCCGAGCCGAAGCTCCGCCTGAGCTGGAGACGAGCTGCGCGGATCCAGTCGATCAACACCTCAGTGACATCACCCTTGCTGCGCAAGGGGAAGACTGTGGTGTAACGCGAGTAGTCGTCAACCACCAGCAGGAAGTAGCGCTCGTGACCCTGTCCACGGACGCGAGCTGGGCCCCACACGTCCATATGAAGCGTCTGCAGCGGGGCCTCTTTTGGAGGAATCTAGGAGGAGTGAGGGGTAGCCCGCTGCCGCCCCTCGACACAGGGGATGCAGGTAGGGCCAGGCCCCGGAGGAAGGGGAGGGAGGGACCGGGGAAGACCAGAGACAAGTACAGGGGAGGCCATGCTTCGGAGACGAAGCAGGGAGGGGTGACCAAGGCGGTGGTGCCAGAGGAGAGTCTCGTGAGACAGGAGGCGACACGAGCAGGGGGCAGACTCAGGACCAGACCTGGACGCTGCAGCTAACACCTGACTCGACGCAGCTACCTGACCAGACGCAGGGACTGGAAGAGACGCAGTGATCAGTGTGTACAGGCTCGACCCCGGCCGACGTGTAAACGTGGCCAGGTGTCGGCCTGTCCGAGCGTCCGTGCAGTGGGTCACCCGCTGACTCGCAGGAGTGAACTGGTGAACCCCCGCATCCTGTAGGTCAGCACCACTCACCAAGTTCGTAGAGAACGAGGGGAGGTAAAGACCAGACAGGGTGCTAGAGGGCGCCGCCGGACACGGGAGGACAGTAGAGAAGTGAGCAAGGACAGGACCTCCAGAGGGGTCTGCCAGGGAGACTGCAACTGGCCGACCAAGCGGCGTGAGTGTGGTGCGGTCTCGAAAGAAGGAGCGAGAAGCCCCCGAGTCAAGTGTGAAGGTGTGGGAGGCCGAGGCCGACGCAGTACCTGAGAGCGCAGACTCACCAGTACCAGAGGAAGAAGACGCACTAGCACCTAGAGCAGCAGCCTTGCAAGCACCAAGAGCAGCAGCCTCACCAGCACCTAGAGCAGCAGTCTCAATGCCCGGGTCGGGCGGGAAACACTGGTAACAGTCACCCTCCTCACTAATAGACACAGTATACATAGCAGCAAGAATAGCATCAAAGTCAATGTCAAAGATAGCTACCCCTGCCCTACACAGCTCGCGCCAGCGAGGGATCTCAGTGGCCTCAGGGAACTGGTGACGCCAAGCATCCGTCAGGCGGCCAAAGCAGCGCTGGGTGGGGTGCGCACCCCCACACTGCTCACCCGCACGATCGCCGGTGCGCAGGACGTAGGTGCACGAACCAGTACCCCCACCCCGCTGGCGTGCAGCGTACCACTCACGGAGCTGCTGAGGGGACAGGGTCTCCCGACTGCGCTGCTGCTGTTGGCGCTGACCACCACCGGAGCCACTCCTCTGCGAAGAGCCATGACCTCCTCCTCCTCCTCCTCCGCCACCGCCTCCTCCACCTCAGCCACCTCCACCACCTCCGCTCCCACCGCCACCGCCGCCGCCGCCTCCGCCTCCACTGCCGCCGCCGACACCTCCACCCCCGCCACCACTCCCACCACCACCCCCACCCCCTCCACTGCCTCCACCGCCGCCTCCACCGCCCCCGCTAGCTCCTCCAGCGCCCGTGCCCCCCTTGCCCCTGCCAGAGCGACGCTTCCCACTAGGGGTAGATGCCGCACCGACCGACTCCAGACCAACGAGGTCGGCCGCAGCAGCAGAGGCAACAGAGGGCAAAAGAGGGGAGGGGGAACACCCCTCAAAGATGGGGGTGCGAGGGTCACCACGAGAGGCTCCTACAGCCACTATGCTCTTCTCCGCTGCTAGGAGGGCCTTCTCGAGGAGGTCAACAGTGAGAGTGGTGGGACAGACTGAGAGAAAGTGGTCCCTGACTACGCGAAGGGAGTCAGGGAGGCGGGTGACTATGTAGTAGAGAGTGATGTACATGGGGGGGGGGGGGTTCTTAGCGCAGAACTCAGCAGGAAGCGCAACGCGGTAGCGAGTGTCACTAGTGCGGAGGTGCGTAATGAGGTCAGCGACTGTGGGGAAGGCAGCAAGGTCAGGGAAGAGGTACGGTAGCATGAGGCGGCTCAGTGCAGCAGTGGCAGGGGAGGAGTAGCGTGCAACTACAGCGTCGTACAAGGTCTGAGCACTCTTGTATTGGCTAAAGTGTGCACGCTCAGAGGTAGGCAGGTGGCGACGCACAGCAAGACGTGGAGCAGCATCGCGCGTGGCCCATTGTGAGAGGACAGTGGCGTCAGCATCAGCAGCAGGGGCAGGAGAGGCACCAGAGGTGAGGTCAAAGAGAGAGAGACCGTCCACCCTATCGCACTGTAAGAAAAGCTGCAGGTCATCTATCCAGACGTCAAAGTCAATGGCCCGACCCTCAGCGTCAAAAGCGAGGACACTAGGGGTAGCCATGATAGCAGTAGACTAGCAGCGCGAACAGTAGGGTGAGGGCAGTGCAGTGACAGAGGCGCTGCTCTTACCAGACAGGGCGGCTCGGGCGGCTCGGCTGCAGGGCGACTCGGCGGCTCGGCAGCTGGGCGGTAGGCGGCTCGGCAGCTGGGCGGCTCGGCGCCTTGGTTGCTGGGCGGCTCGGCGGCTCGGTTGCTGGGCGGCTCGGCTGAAAGGAGACGGCGGGGCCGCTGAGAAGGGCGGCGACGGGCCGCTGAAGAGGGCGGCGACAGAGCCGCAGGGAGGGCGCCGGCAGGGCCGTGCAAGGGCGGCGACGGGGGAGAGCGGTGACGGGCCGCGAAGGGCGGCGAATCGGGGCCGCAAGGGCGGCGGATCGGGGCCGCAAGAGGCCGCTAGGGGGCCGTGAGGGCGGCTAGGGCGGCGCGACGCGGCCGTTAGGGCGGCGCGACGCGACCGCTAGGGCAGCGTGACGAGGCCGCGAGGGGCCGCTAAGGGCGACGCGACGGGGCCGTGAGGAGCCTAGCGAGGGCGCGACGGTAAGGAAAGCACACGAGGCGCGACTCGGGCCTAAGCGGAGCGCGCTCCGGGCAGGATAAAAATTTCGTAGTGGTGGGCCCTAGGAATCGTTCCCGTTAGGGAACCTGCTCGATACCATGAGAAGAAACGAGAATGAATGAACTATGAATGTATTGGGTACAAGTGCTAACCCTAATTGGGTTGTACCCCTTATGGGCTACCCCACTATAGCCTACACAATATGCATGACCTATAATGTTCTGACAGAGGGCAGCAGGACGGCGCGCGCAGCGCAGCACGTCACAAGGCAAGGCAGGCAGGCGCATGACAACACGTGGGGTAGCGCGGTAACCGCAACGGTAGGTGGGCCCGAAAAAAAAAAGACGGTCCTACGGACCTAGTGCTATGAAACCATGTTAGAATCTAGCAGCATGAATGAGATGCACTATGGAAGAGTAGGGTACAAGTATGAAACCCTAAACGGGGCTGTACCCCATATTGGCTACCCCACTACAACCTACACACATATATAGCATGCATATACTTTGACAGCTCGGTGTAGCCGCAGAGCCAGTTACTCCTGCAGTCCGGGCCTTTGCTTCGGTAGCCACTGAGCCAGCCGCTCCTATGTGTCTGCAGCTTCCGCCGTCGCGTCCCATCTCCTCCCCTCTCACAGTCCCTCCTCCTTGTCCTCAGATGCCCTTTGTGAATGCCTCTAGCCGTGCTTGTGCTCGTGAACCTGCTATGTGACTGCTTGCTCTGCTGATTATACCCCACTTTGACCATGGGGGTATGTCAGAATGTATTTGCTGTCTAGCCTGCAGTGGGGTACTCTGTAGTGAGTACAGCCCTATTAGGATTTGCTATATGTGCTCAACTGCCTGCTAGTAAAACCCTCTTCTGCCTATTCTCTCTTGCCTAGCTAGCTAAATCCTAGTTATGGCTCCTGCGTTCTAGCACCTATTCTGACAATACACACACACACATGCACACACACACATGCACACACACACGCACGCGCATACAGACCCCCCCCCCACACACACACCCACGCACCAACGCATGCACACTCGCACGTACTCACGGACGCATGCACACACACACACACATACACACGCACTCGCGTTCACATACACACACATACATATACAGACACACACACACACACACACATACACACACACATACACACACACACACACACACACACACACACTCAAAACGGAAGGAAGTAGCAGGGGAAAAACAAAAAGCACTACCACTTTATGGCTATGACAGCAATGTAACGCAAGGAGGTTGGGCTTTTCCTGAACGTGCTGAGAATAGCCGAGTAATGGACAAGTCCGAGCCCAGGTCCGAGTGCGAGTCAGCGTTGTTGTCAAGAACATTCCATATCGGATAATCCAACAAAGAAGCACATGTGTGTGCTCATTGATAAAACAATGGGTTTTCTTTTCTATATCCTTTCCCTACTTACATAGCTATAATAGTAGTATCTTGTAATGAAGCACCACAAACAAAATAATAATAATACTAAGAATCGTCTGTAAGTCGCTTCTTATTCAACTTCACACTAGTGCATCAATCCTTCATTTCATCATGTATCACAATCTATACCCTCTCCACTGCTCTGACCTTTCTCCCTCTCCCCCTCCCCCTGCTGCCCAGCCAAGCAGAGAGGGTGAGGCAGCAACGAGCAGGGTGGGGTGACATGAAGGAATTTCAAAAGGGCGGGGCAAACGGCAAGAAATATTGCGAGGGTGAGGGAGAGGAGGAGGAGGGAGATGGGTAGGCCAATTAAGGGGTAAAGCGCTGGGGCATGAGGCAGGCGGGGCAGCTGCATTGAGAGCGTTTCAGATGCTAGCCCTTCCCTGAAGAACAGTGGGTGATTGGGCCAGACACAAGAAGCAGAGTGAAAAAGGGATGTGCCGGTATGTGTGCAGAAATGAATAAACGGGCGGGCAAATGGTTCTATGTGTGCGGAAATGAATAAACGGGCGGGCAAATGGTTCTATGTGTGCGGAAATGAATAAGCGGATGGGCAAACACTTGTATGATTGAGGAAATGGTTAAATGGGAATGGTTGTATGTGTGCGAAAACTAATAAACGGGCATACGAATGGGCGAATGGGTGAAAACTTTTGCGACGGCGCATTTGGAGGCATAATCTCCCAGCAGCAAGAAACACAGTGACATGACAGCAGCAGGAGAACGCACCGTGCAGCAAGGGTGCGGTAGTGAGGAGAGACAACCCCTGAAACCCCAACGGAGGAGCACCGCAGAAGAGTGAGGCCATTCTCTGCCGCCCTCACTGCGTCTCCATAAAAAAGCCAGTGGCCTGTGGCACCCCACGACCAGCTGGGCTCCAGCAGAACGTCCACTCTGGAGGAGGGCGGTGGGTAATGGTGGTTATAGGGATGGGAGAAAAGAGGGGATGGGTTAGGATTAGGATTGGCCGGCGGCACTCCTTTACGCCATGGGCCTATGCTCCCCCATGGCTACTGGGAGATGCCCACTCTGTGTGGCGGCACTGGAGGGTGATGGTGATTTCAGTTTGAACAGAAGGGCAGGCTCAAACCCGAATCACGACTCAGACTCACCACATGCAACAAGAAGACAAGGCGGGAATTTACACACACACAAACATGCACATACCCTTGTCTGCCGGCCTGGCGGATGAGCGCAGGGAACTGCATGTCAAGGCAGATGGCAACGGACATTCTCCCTAGTTCTGTGTCCACCACGGGCAGGGAACCAGAGCCTGGCAGGACGTCCGCCTCCACAGAGGGAAAGAGGTGCGACTTGTTGTAGCGCAGGATGGAGGCGCCGCTGGGGTCGATGAGGACGAATGTGTTGATGAAGATTTCCGGGACGAAGGTGATGAGCTGCGATGCAGGGAGGGGTTGGGGGTGAGGGAGGCAGACAAAGGGAGGAGAGGGGAAGGGGAGTTTAGGGCAAAAAAGGCGTGTCAAAGCTAATCCAGCACACATACACCTCTTAACCCATGCTGTTATGGAAATCAAACCCGCACCTTTACGTATGAAACGCCCAGGTATGGCCCAAGGACTGGTGGAGCTGCAGCGTCCCCAGCAGCGGCGGCAGTGCGGTTGGCCCTGGCAGCGATGGCGATGGCAGAGAGGTCAGCCAGGAGCTTGTCCTCCTCGTGGTCGTACAGCAGAATGATTGTAGCCTCTGACCACAGGATCAACGCATCGCCTGCACTCGCTCTCTGCTGCGTCTGCTGCATCACCCTTGCTATGCCTGACACACGCCGCGCCTCCCACTCCTCCCACGTCCCTTTCGCCGGCGCTGCTGCTTCTCCTACCCCATCTGCTGCTTTTTCTCTTCCAGTTGCTCCTTCCCCTACTGCTGCTGCATATACTGCCCCTTCTGTATCTCCATTCCGCCCCTGTTGACACTCTCCCTGCCCCCTGCACTTCTCCCCTTCTCCCCCGTATCCTTTCAGCGCGGAGAGCGTGGGCAAAGGCGTGGAGGCATTAGCAGCAGCAGAAAGCAGGTGGATCGATTCCGGATCCCTGGGAGGGATGGCTTCGGTGGGGGCTTGCAGGATGATGCAGGAGACAGGGACGGAGGGCATGATGGGTGCTCCTACCAGCTGCTGGTAGAATCTGATAGGGATTGACCAAGGGGATGACGATGGGAGAGGGAGAGGGAGGGGAAGCGGAAGTGGGGGAGAGAGTAGGAGAGAGAAAAAGAGCAAGAAAAAGGCACTTAGTCGTTTCCCTTCCAGCCTGGGGAAGGGGCGTTAATTCCTTCTGGATTGGGGAGCATGACTGCTTGGAGATGGATGATTAAAAAATATAGAAAAACGATGGGCAGATGCAGAATTCGGAAACGTTGCGAGGGAAAGGAGGAAGGAAGGGGAGAAATGACGGGAGTTTGTTAAGGGAAGTAGAACGTGAGAGTTGGCAGTGCAGCGGTAGTACCTGGATGAGAACACAATCTCTCGCGCTGACCCGGCAGCCATCAGCGCCACCAGCAGTGCCACACTTATTCCCACATGGCCCCTCCCGCTGCTGCCTACCCCGAGCCTGTTGCTTCCCCCAACTGCACCTCTTCCCCTTACCGCACCTGCCCCTTCTCCTCCTCCTACTACTCCATTCCTCACTGCACTAACACCGTTACAGGCCTCACCAAACACTTGACTGCTACCCTTCTCCCTCTCCCCCTCCCCAGGACACCTCATATGTTCTTCCCCTCTCCCGCCCCCCTCCTCCCCAACCTCACCCCCACTCCCACCCCCTCTCCGACCCCGGCTCCACCCTTCCTCGCCCATCCCCGCCGCATCCCCCTCGCACATCATCTGGTGAATACCCGCCACCAGCCAGGCCACCAGCAGCAGGACACCATCCATGCCCACATATGCCGTGGCTTGCACGAGCGGCAGCAGGGTGCACAGCGAGTAGAACGGGTGGGCTAAGGCGCCAAAGGGGGAGAGCAGCGAGAGGAAGCTCCAGATGGAGGCGGAGACGAGGGGGAAGACGAGCGGATGCAGGTGTGGTGAGCGCCTGCGGTGGGGGGAGGGGAGCGGGAGGAAAGGGAGAGTGGTGCAGGAGGGCAGAGGTGACTTTGGAGAGAGTAGAAAGAGGTGGGCAGTGGACCAAAGGGGGAGAGGGAGAGGGAGGGAGGGGGAGAGAGGGAGAGAGGGAGAGAGGGAGGGACACTGAGGTGGAAACAGGAAAGGACACTGAGGAGGAGTCAGCGCGAGATAGACATCACGCGCAATTTTTAGGCTCCTCAAAACTAGTGCCATCACGCTGCCACAACAAGCCAACACGTTCAAACGCTGCTGCTCATTCCTCCCTCACTCCATCGCACCTGTAGGTGAAGCGGAAGAGCGAGTCAGCGAGGCATGGCAGCACGTTGGCAACCGCGACATGGCAGGAGGCGACGATGTTGGCCGCCAAGCTCAAGGCGTAGTTCCCGTACGCCACTGTCGTGCCGCATGCCTGTGGGGACGTGCCGCACATCATGCACACACACGCACACATGCACATCACAAGGGTGAGTATGAGACCCAGCCACCACTGTGGCACAACTTGTGGTGTGCGTTGAACCCAGATGCAGCTGCGTTGACCAATGCACCAACTACCATGTGGCGGCTACCTGCGTTGCGATAACGACGACGGTAAGTGCGACGACGTTCCGCCACGGCCGGTCGCCCACGCGCGCCGCGGAGAAGAAGCGGAGCGTCAGCAGCTGCTGCAGCCATGCCGCCAGGAACACGTCCTGCAGTCCAGTGAACGCGGTGCATATCGAGGCGAACACAAGCAGGGAAAAGGGGCTGCGGGCACCGTCGAGTGGGGCGAAGGGGCCGCCCTTCGCCATTGATGGAAAGAGGCACCAAAAACTGAAATCGACAGGGGAAGCCACCTGTTGCGTCATCACTTCGAAACAACGTCGGCAACGAGGGGACCTTAGAAGTTGCTGTGGCTTTGGAGAGCCGTGAATTCTCAAACCGAATCTCGTTTGCGATAACAGCGTCATGACATGACATTTTGTACCCACCGGCAGGCTCAACTACTACCTTGCCTTTTCAACCAGTGGTTGTACACGAAATACCACGTTTGGACCAAGGGGCCGAGGCCCAACTACCTAACCTGGTTGTACAGGTAATAACATGTTTGTACCCGTGCGCCGAGTCCCAACTACCTAATACCCGGGTTGTAATATCAGTGAACATCTGTGCCCGGCAGTTGCTGTCGGGGCGACAGGAACATTGACTGTGCTGGCCGTCGGTCATAATAGTCCCACTACAGTACACCCTGATGCTCACTCAACCGCCCACTCTGAACACGCCCACTGCCACTCCATAATGGTCGACATTCATAGCTAACAGCCAGCTCGTTACTAGCCCACGACAAAACCAATATACTCTTGACCTCGAATAAGTTATTCGAATTTCCCAGACAAAACACGCTGGGCTACCCATAATTATGGCGACTGTTCTACATTCAGTCCCATTTTGACCCTAGCGGGCACGTAGCGAGAGAGGAGTACAAGGAAGATGGAGAACGGGACTAAAATAGGCATCGGGTGTACACACAAAAATAGGAAATGAGAGGCCGTTGAGGGACCCACCACCTTTTTAGGACGTGACTTAGACCGCCTCGACCGGCGCTGATCTGATCGGGATAGATCCGATCGGGTTACTTGTGATTGCAGTGCTCGCGCCGCCCGATCAGTGCTGATATTCCTGGAGAACTCAAGACGCCTGCCTCGCAAGCGTGTCAGCATTTCCTGATTATTCCGATCCAATGTTGGCGAAAGCGAAGACGTAGCGAATTTTCTGCTCCCACGTAATATCGCAAATTAGAGTTAAGATGATGTTTGCACGATTGTGGGACGAGCTCAACGAGGAAATGTAACCTTTCTCGCAAGCGTCGCCAGGATCCCCATCCCATGCAATCAACTGATCGGACTGATTGTGTGTGATCGTGATTGATTGGGGTGTTTGAGGCGGTTGATTGAGTTGGGGCGATCAATCGATCGCGATCAGTTGATAGCCCCTGATTGCCTGAAATCAGCGTTAGGGCTTCCTGGAAGTTATTGACCACCTCGGATCGAGGCAATCAGAGGCGGTCTGGGCCACGTCCTGAGGACACAAAAGTCAACTCATTTTAGAGTCGACTCAAAAGTAAAAGGGCATTTATCTTAGCGGTAACAATCATGGAGCTCAATCGCATGCGAGGTGAGCTACGTGTCCAAATCGTAACAGAGATGTCTTCTCATCGCCACGATGGTATCCATCATGCCCAGATGGTCAGCATTATTGCCTGAATGGTAAGGAACAGTGCATCCGGAAATCCTGGCTAGTAACTTTGCGTTCCAACCAAACTGTACATTGTACAAGTCAGGTTTGACTCAGAAAAAAGGAAACTGACTACCCACGTATACACCCACAGAATGCACAATTCTGTTTAGTAAACAAACACTTACAACTGCAAAACGTTACATGCACGTATTCGATATAATATAAATTCATTACTATAGAAAGCATCTTACAGAGACTCAAAAAAAAAAAAACGTAGCCTAACTATTGAACAACTGGAATTTATTTATCGCTTTATATAGTTTATAGCATGCATGAATGTTTTTTAATATATAAAAAATGTTATATTTTTATGCAACTTATATTCTTTATCATATGCAAATCTAATGTTGCTCAAATTCATATTGAAAATTTTGTAACTAGATCTAGCTCCAATTCCTAATATTCTAAAATAAAATTTTGATAAGGTAAAATAATTTGTTGCAAAATATTTATCACCAGGATAGTTTTTCCGTTTGACATTGTACGCGTGATTTTTTTTGTGATGTTTGTTTGTTAGTTAATGATGTTGTTTTTTATTTTTTAATTTATTTACAAATTACAAGTTACCATATCGCGGTTTTATGTCAAAACATTATAGCTTATGCTTTTTTTTAGGCTGTAGTGGGGTAGCCCATATTGGGTACAACCCAATTAGGATTCGTACTTGTACCCAACTCTTTCATAGTGCATTCATTCTCGTTCTAGTTTTCTCATGGTATCGAGCAGGTTCCCTCGTCGGAACTGTTGCTAGGGCCCACCAATTCGAATTTTTTTTCCTGCCCGGAGCGCGCTCAGTTCCTGCCCGAGTCGCGCTCCCCTCTCTCGACCCTCTCGCCCCGCCTTAGCGGCCCCGTCGCGTCGCGCTAGAGGCCCCGTCGCGTCGCCCTCGCGGCCCCATCCCGTCGCGCCGCCCTAGCGGCTGCGTCCCGCCGCCCTAGCGGCCCCGATCCGCCGCCCTAGCGGCCGCGTCGCCTACTCCTGCGGCCCCGGCACCGCCCTTCCCGGCCCCGATCTGCCGCCCTAGCGACCTTGTCGCCTACCCCGCGGCCCCGGCGCTGCCCTTCCCGGGCCCCGACGACGCCCTTCCCGGCCCAGCACTGCCTCTGCTGGCCCCGTCGCCTAGCCCTCCAGGCCCCGCACCTAGCAGCAGAGAAGAGCATAGTCGCTGTAGGAGCCTCTCGTGGTGACCCTCGCACCCCCATCTTTGAGGGGTGTTCTCCCTCCCCCCTTTTGCCCTCTGTTGCCTCTACTGCTGCGGCTGACCTCGTTGGGCTTGAGTCGGTCGGAGCGGCGTCTACCCCTAGCGGGAGACGCCGCCCTGGCAAGGGCAAGGGGGGCAGGGGCGCTGGAGGAGCTAGCGGGGGCGGTGGAGGAGGCGGTGGAGGCGGTGGAGGGGGTGGGGGTGGCGGTGGGGGTGGTGGCGGGGGTGGAGGTGTCGGTGGCGGCAGTGGAGGCGGAGGCGGCGGCGGCGGTGGCGGTGGAAGCGGAGGTGGCGGAGGTGGCGGCGGTGGAGGAGGCGGTAGCAGTGGAGGTGGAGCTGGTGGAGGTGGCGCTGCGCAGAGGGTCGGCTCCGGTGGTGGTCAGCGCCAGCAGCAGCAGCAGCAGCAGCAGCGCACTCGTGACATCCCCCCCCCTCAGCAGCTCCATGAGTGGTAAGCTGCACGCCAGCGGGGCGGGGGTATAGGTCCGTGCACCTACGTCCTACGCACCGGCGACCGCGCAGGTGAGCTGTGCGGGGGTGCGCACCCCACCCAGCGCTGCTTTGGCCGCCTGACGGACGCTTGGCGTCACCAGTTCCCGGAGGCCACTAAGATCCCCCACTGAGGCGGGCTTTCTAGGGCGGGAGTAGCTGTCTTTGACCTTGACTTTGATGCTATTCTTGCTGCCATGTATGCTGTGACTATTAGTGATGAGGGTGACTGTTACCGGTGTTTTCCGCCCGACCCGGGCATTGAGACTGCTGCTCTAGGTACTGGTGAGGCTTCTGCTTTAGGTGCTAGCGAGGCTGCTGCTCTAGGTGCTCGTGCATCTGCTCCCTCAGGTGCTGGTGAGTCTGCTCTCTCAGGTACTGCGTCGGCTTCGGCCTCTCACACCTTCACCCTTGACTCGGGGGCTTCTCGCTCCTTCTTTCGAGACCGCACCACACTCACGCCCCTTGGCCGGCCAGTTGCAGTCTCTCTGGCAGACCCCTCTTGGAGTCCTGTCCTTGCTCATTACTCCACTGTCCTCCCGTGTCTGGCGGCCCCCTCTAGCACCCTGTCTGGTCTTTACCTCCCCTCGTTCTCTACGAACTTGGTGAGTGGTGCTGACCTACAGGATGCGGGGGTTCACCAGTTCACTCCTACGAGTCAGCGGGTTACCCACTGCACGGACGCTCGGCCAGGCCGACACCTGTCCACATTTACACTTCAGCCGGGGTCGAGCCTGTACACACTGACCACTGCATCTCCTCCACTCACTGCATCTGGTCAGGTAGCTGCGTCGGGTCAGGTGTTTGCTACAGCGTCCAGGTCTGGTCCTGAGTCTGCCCCCTGCTCGTGTCGCCTCCTGTCTCACGAGACTCTCCTCTGGCACCACCGCCTTGGTCACCCCTCCCTGCTTCGTCTCCGAGGCATGGCCTCCCGTGTCCTTGTCTCTGGTCTTCCCCGGTCCCTCCCTCCCCTTCCTCCTGGGCCTGGCCCTACCTGCGTCCCCTCTGTCGAGGGGCGGCAGCGGGCTGCCCCTCACTCCTCCCAGTTTCCTCCGACAGAGGCTCCGCTGCAGACGCTTCACATGGACGTGTGGGGCCCGGCCCGCGTGTGTGGACAGGGTCACGAGCGCTACTTCCTGCTGGTGGTTGACGACTACTCGCGTTACACCACAGTCTTCCCCTTGCGCAGTAAGGGTGATGTCACTGCGGTGTTGATCGACTAGATCCGCGCAGCTCGTCTCCAGCTCAGGCAGAGCTTCGGCTCGGACTTTCCTGTTCTGCGGCTGCACTCTGACATAGGCGGAGAGTTCTCCTCTGGCCTTCTGCGAGCCTACTTTCGTGCACGAGGCATCCGCCACACCTTCACGCTTCCGGACTCTCCACAGCAAAATGGGATTGCTGAGTGCCGCATTGGCATGGTCATGGATGTCGCTCGTACGTCCATGATGCATGCGGCTGCCCCCCATTTTCTGTGGCCGTTTGCGGTTCGGTACGCGGCGCATCAAATCAACCTTCAGCCCAGGGTCTCCATGCCGGAGACCTCCCCAGCTTTGCTGTGGACGGGGAAGGTTGGCGATGCGTCTGCGTTCTCTGTCTGGGGATCTCGAGCGTTTGTTCGCGACTTGTCTGCGGACAAGCTGTCCCCTCGTGCTACTCCTTGCGTCTTCCTTGGCTTCCCCCCTGACGCGCCAGGGTGGCAGTTCTACCACCCCACCTCTCACCGTGTTCTGTCCTCCCAGGACGTCACCTTTGACGAGTCGGTCCCCTACTACCGCCTCTTTCCTTACCGCACTGCGTCCCTCCCCCCGCCACCGCTCTTCCTTGTACCATGTCCCCCCTCGGTAGACCCCCTCCCCCCTCAGGGTCCTGCCCCTTCAGGTG